GCTGCCAGGTGCCGTCATGCTCCACTTCACTACCTCGTCTCTTTCACGTTCATGCTCAAGGCACTTTTAAAACACCCTTCTAGCGTTTCAACAATATAGTCGGTAACATTTTCCGCGGTCTCCCTTCTCCTCGACATTTTATAACCCACTGTTGAGTCTCTAACAGAAATCAGTTGGCTCTGTGAAGTTAGGCGGCATGTGCGCCAAAACACAAACCATTCGCTCAAACTCGTCAATCTTTTCTTTTTTGATTAGAAACATAAACCTTTTGAGGAATATCTTGCTGCAGGCAAGTCTGCCATGGCCAAACAAGTGGAAACGAAAACCAAGTCGAAAAATAGTTGGACAGAAGAACTTTCTGGGTGGCTCATTGGGTTCGACTACATCGCTTTTTCATCGCATTTAACTCTAAAAACCACAGCGTCAAAACCACCTAACAGTGGCGGTCAACTTGGAACATAGCATATTCTAAATCTGCAATCCCTAACTGGCGTTGCCCAGACCATATATGGCCCCGCAAACTTACCCTGGTAGATTTATATTTAACGTACCGTAAGTGATCCATCGCATGAAGTGTGAACTGAAATTCCTTTTTAATGAGAAGGATGATTTAAGTAGCGACGGAGTAAGGCACAAAATAAGCGATATTTCGGCTGGTGAGAATAGCGTCGCCACAAAATACTTCATATTAATTTTTCGCTTACCATGAGTAAATCGGCAACCTGGATGCACAATAGACACCATAATAAGAAAATACATCAGAGCAGGACATCTTTGCCATTAATGTTTCGACCAAGTCTAGATTTTAGTGGGAGGAAAAAAGAATTGTGCAAACACTTTGAACACATGATTCGCATCGAAGCGCAGTGGGGAGATTTAGTAAGATGAGTAAGCCTATAACCCGCCTGATAAGGTTCCCTGTTGTGCAGTGATAACCACAATCGACTAGCGTTCGCTCTGCGCGAAGCCCATGTGCGCGCGTGATCATTCTCGGCCACTACTGTACTTATTACCCTAGGTTTTTCGGTTTTGAACTCGCTGATTTGATGCAAATGGAATGAGAGTTCGCAAGTGATCAAGGAGTGACAAACTTTGTGGTGTCACCTTCAGCTAGTGTCTATTATTTCAATCATTCAATCAGGTGCATGGCAAGATACATTAAAACGCAGGCGATATAAATCTGCGCATCAGTGATACAAGTTCAATTTAGGGTGCGCACCAGCGCGCGAAAACCCGTCCTTCTGTAATAGGGGACAGGTGATAATAAAGGTTAAATGGGTGGGCATATCAGGAGAAAGGAAAACCAAATAAAATGTAGATCGTATACAAGTAGAAAAAAAAGAGGTAATTATTTGAATAGCCAAATATTTGCGCGCCATAACTAAAATAAGAAATAGGACCAATAGGAAAAGAGAAGGCTCAATAGTGCCCAACTGTCCACCCTGTATCAAATGCACAAAAGTCAGTA